AACGTGGGGAGTGAGCAGGTAGAGAATGAGGAAAATGAGGGAAATCCAGAAGAGTGGAGACAAATTCCGGTTCGGAATCATCCATCTTTGGTTGACCCTGAAGTGTCAAAGGTATCTTTTGAAGTAAAGGCGTTTGGTGAGTCTACAAGCAAAGGGCCTGTGTCACCATCGCGATTCCATGTTTTAGGGGCTCTATCTGAGGACGGAGAGTTGGCTGAGACGGAGGATATAGATGTGTTGGAAGAAGGAGAGTTGCCTGAGGAATCAGAAAGTTTGCAGACTAACGTCAAACAGAAGGGTCACCAGGAAGTAGCTTCCTTAAAAAATCCGAGGAAAAATGCAAAAGGGAGAAAATCGACTAGAAAACCGATTTGTACCACAAGAGATTTGAAGCTTCAGAATATGCAGGGACACTCAAAAAATTCTTCCTTTCGAAAGGTATGAATAGTTTCTTCTCATGGAATATGCGGAGATTCAATCTGCCGCGGAAACACTTGGTTTTAAAAGCTGTGTTTTTGATGTCTTACGGAAACTCGGGTACAGTTTGAGAATTATGAGAGAGTAATGCAATCTTCCCTACCAGGATGGAAATGTATTACAAATTATGAGTTTAATCCTCTTGGAAGGATCTGGTTTTGTTGGAAGGATGATGTGGTGGTTACGCTATTGCATAAGAGTGCGCAAATAATCACGTGCGCGATTCAGGTTCCAGAAACAGGGGAACAGTTCATATGCTCAGCCATTTATGCCTCAAACTTTGTCGTAGAGAGAAGAGCACTTTGGGAAGAAATCAGAGGCACGAGGGATTCTTATGCTCACTTTTCTCTTCCGTGGATCCTGATGGGAGACTACAACGTTACTTTGTCTTCTTAAGAGCACTCTCGATGTCATGATTATATGGTGGATCAAGTTGGTATGCGCGATTTTCAAGAGCTAGTCGCTGGATGTAATCTGATGGATCTCCCTTATGTAGGTTAAGTCTTTACTTGGTGGAATAAAAGAGGTCTGGATCCAGTTGGAAAAAAGTTAGATAGAGCTCTAATAAATGGAGAATGGCTACATCACTTTCCTCATTCCTTTGCAAAGTTTGATGCTGGAGGGGTCTCAGATCATGCTCGCTCTCTGGTTTCCCTAACTGAACGCCAGACCAGTACTAGGAAACCTTTCAATTTTTTAAATTTTTAATCGACAATGAGGAGTTTATGCCTTTGGTTTCTCAGAAATGGGATTAGACAGAGTCGCTTTTTCCTTCCAGGACGGCGATGCAAATGTTCCATCAGAAGCTCAAGTTTCTTAAGCATGATCTTCGGAGGCTCAATAGGACTAGTTATGGTAATCTCTCACTTCGTACAAAGCAGGCATTTGATGAACTATGTGCTTGCCTAGCTCAAGCTCTGGCCAAGCCCGAGAACTTTCAAATCTGAATCTGTTGCAGCAGATCGTTGGTATCACTTGGTTTGAGTAGAAGAGCAACTCTACATGCAGAAGTCCAGAATCCAGTGGCTTGCTCTTGGGGATCAGAATACTACATTCTATCATAATGCCTGTAAGGAGAGAACAGCGAGGACTAATATAAATATCCTTTTCACAGAGAATGGGGAGACTCTCTCTGAACCCTCTGCCATCAAAAGCGAAGCAGTAAATTATTTCCAGAATTTTATGCAATCACAACCAGATAGCTCAGACAACATAGAGATGGCTGACTTGCAAGACATTTTTAGTTATCGATGCGTCCATGCTGGTTGCGTCTTTCACGGCTGAGGAGATACACAAAACGCTGCTGTCGTTGCCTAATGGAAAAGTACCAGGACCTGATGGATTCACAAAGGAGTTTTTTGTGGCAGCTTGGCCCATTGCAGGGAGAGATATGGTTTGCGATACAATCTTTCTTCCAGTATGGATTTCTTCCTACAGGAGTCAACGCCACCATCTTAGCTTTGATTCCTAAGAAGACTCCAGATCAGACAATGAAATATTTTAGACCGATATCATGTTGTAATCTGATATATAAGGTCATTTCAAAGTTGCTATCCAATAGGCCGAAAAAGATTCTGCCTTCAGCCATTGAAAAATATCAGTTCGCTTTTATAAAAGGGAGGCTGATGCTGGAGAATATTTGTCTGGAAAATGAAGTTGTAAAAGGCTATCATCTCAGTTCTACCACTGATAGATCTACCGTCATGTTTGACATCTCAAAAGCTTTTGATACTGTAAAGTGGGGTTTCATAGTTTCAGTTTTACAGGCTATGGGGTTACCAGAGTTGTTTATTCATTGGATTCATCTTTGTGTATCCACTGCGTCCTTCTCAGTGGCGATAAATGGTGAGCTTGAAGGTTTTTTCACCAGTGCTAGAGGAATTAGACAAGTTTGTTCCCTTTCACCTTATCTCTAATGTGATATTGAACAATGTCCTATCTAAATTATTGAATAAAGCGGCTGAGCAAGGATTCTTTGGGTATCACGCTACATGTAAGACAGTGAGATTGACGCATTTAAGTTTCGCTGACGATATACTAGTGTTTACAGATGGTAGAGTCTCTTCTCTTGATGGTGTAATCAGTGTGATGGATACTTTTGCGAGGATGTCGGGGTTACATATTAATGCAGCAAAGTCTTCTATCTACTCAGGGGGCCAGAACAAACTTTTACTGGATCAAAATGCCGAAGTTAGAGGGCTCTCATTCGGATCCCTACCTTTCCGATACTTGGGTCTCTCACTTTCGCAGGTAGACTCCAATTGATCAAATCATTTATATCAAGTATAATTAATTTCTGCTGCAGTGCTTTTATCTTACCTAAAGCTTGCTTGGAAGAAATTGAGAGTCTTTGTATTGCTTTTCTTTGGTCGGGATCGCCAAACAACCATCACAAGGCAAAGGTTGCCTGGAAAGATTTATGTTTACCTATCAGTGAAGGAGGTTTGGGTATTCGAAAACTTAGAGAGACTTCTAGAGTCTTTGCTTTGGGTCTGGTGTGGAAGCTCTTATCCTTGCCTGGCTCACTCTGGGTAGCGTGGGCACGTATTGAGTTGATGAAAAGGGGGTCTTTTTGGGACACTAAGGTGACTAATAAAGGGTCATGGCTATGGAAACAATTGCTTAAACTGCGACCACATGCAGCAGAGTTTATGAGATGTGAAGTGATGAATGGAACTACGACTTATTTCTGGTTTGATAACTGGCTTGGAACAGGTCGGCTAATAGATAAAATGGTGAACTGGGTCTTACCTATTTGGGCATCCCTCGCAGGCTTTTGTTTCTGATGTGTGTATAGAGGGAGTTTAGAGTCTGAGGAGTCGAGGAAGGAGAGTATTTGGGACTGTCTATGACGAAATTGATAATGCAGCGAAGCCATTTCCAGGAGAAGGGCCGGATGTTCTTTTATGGAGACATGGTAAAAACAAGTATAAGGATCACTTCTCTACTTCGAAGACATGGGATCAAATTCGGGAAAGAGGGCAGGAGGTTTCTTGGACTAATCTGGTCTGGTTTCCGTAGGGGGTTCCAAGACAAGCTTTCATTGTGTGGCTTGCCTTTAAAGACCGATTATCAACGGGGAATCACACAAGGCTGTATGTTTTGTGGGGAAAGAGAAGAGAGCAGAGATCATATTTTCTTTGCTTGCCCTATTACTTTTACAATCTGGTCCACACTAACAACAACTTTGCTCGGCGCCAGTCTCCCCGGACTGGACTACTACGGTAACTACTTTGAAGTGTCATCGTAGAAACACTCTTGATGTTATTCTACTTAAGATGGCCCTTCACACAACGGTCTACACCATTTGGTTAGAAAGAAATTCGAGAAGGCATCATGGAGTGTGGTTAACGACATAGATAATGATTCGCTGCATTGATAAAGCCATCAGGAATAGAATTTGTTCGTTGAAATACAGGAGTCCCCATAAACTGGAAGGTTTGCTTCGCTGATGGTTTGAGGTTTTTTCGAGATGAGAGTTTGGTTAGACGTTTTGTTATTTTTGCTTAGTTCTAGCTCCGGTTTTTTATTTAGACACAACTGTCCTTTTGTAAATGCCCATCATTCTTTGATTAATCAATAAAAAATTTAATCAAAAAAAAAATCTCATGTATATTTTTTTTATGTTTTGTAAATTAAATATAGAGTAGAATATATTATTTTATATAGTTGTTTATAACAATTTGTTTTTGTACATAATATTATATTAAAAGAGGTGAGATGATGTTATTTTGATTATATAATGAATTATGGATTTTTGTTTGATTATCTCATCTAATTTCTCTTCATCTTAGGATTTATAGTTTTTCTTTTGTTATTTGTACCGTTGAGTATTTTTATTTTTAAAACTGAAATACCTTTTGGTACTGTTTGGAAATAAGGAAAGTAGAAGAATTGTTTGGAAACATTGATAGTACATTAAGTACTTTATTTTATTTTCACATTTAACCATTACATTAACAATAATTAAATATTTTTTGGTATTTCTTTTTATTTGCACCCCCTACCATTACATTTAAATTAATTACAATGATTTTTCTTTCTTTGTGTGAAAATAAAAACACAAATTGAAATATAAAATATATATTGTATAATATGACTTTTAAATACATTATTGCCTTATTTAATTAGTTAAATATAAAATTTCGAGAGTTCAATTTTCATAAAAAATACCATAAAAATAATAATAAAGCATAGAATACTAATGCAAAAATTTAATTTTAGTATAATATTTAATTTTTAAAATAAATTAACAAAAAAACAACATGGTAATATATGTACAATTACATCAAATTATAAATTTTCTGATATAATATTATGTACAAATAAAAAATATTATTAAACATTTATATTATAAAATACTATATTCTACTCTATATGTAAATTACCAAACATAAAAAAATATATAATTTTTTTGTAAAACTAACGATTTATGAATTTATGTTGAACACAAATTAAATCAAACACCCGCACAAAGATGCTGATCAAGTTCTAGTTGTATCGTTGAGTTTTAACCTCTTTTTTTCCCTCAAGATTTAATATATTAAAAAGGGCCAAAGCCCAACAAATTACACAACCCGAAAAAACTCGGGACCAATACATCCACCCAAATGGGCCTCAAACCCAAATTGCGAAAATTTAAGAGAAAAAACAACGACGGCCGCCACGCAGATCGGAAGAAGAAAATACGGACACGTGTTACCAACCTCGACGCCAAGGGATATGCGTCGTGAGGGCCATCGCGCCACCACTGCTTCATGCTACCACCGGAGAGCCAAACCTTGGTTTAACGGACCACACCGGAGCTCCATAACTCCACAAATCTTCACCGCAACCACCTTATCAAGCTCATGAGGGTCATGATCAGAGAGAATCAATCGCCGTGGCGAGGTCTCATCCGTCATCTTTCAACGCAAACCACCTAAGAAAAAGCTTCACACATTACATCACCATTACCGCCGGAGAACTTCATCGTCTTCCGACAAAATCTCATCTAACAAACCCAACCGAAATCACAGAAACGAAAACAAGAATGGTAAACTACACCCTAAAGCAAATCTAAAATAATAGCCGGCGACGCAAGGCAAGGGATGCCTTTACCCCCTGGAATCAAGGCCGGTGACGATGGAGCTGTGAGAGCCTCCACCTCCCGGAGTCTAAGCCGGCGACGCGGAGCTAAGGGAGCTTCTACTCCCCACACCCCCCTCCCCCAAAACTTTATTGGCGATGGCAGAGCTATCGAAATATCCGCCTTCCGTAGCAAAAACACTTGAACACGATGACTAAGCTGAACCAAAAAGAAAGGGGACCACCGTCGCTGGTACGCACAGACGAGCAGCTGGACGCCGGGGCCTCCTTTACACGCGATTCTCTCTCTAAGTTCGTCTCCACCCCAGTCTTCTTAGTCGTAGCCTCTTTACCTTGGGTCTTTTTAAATAATATAATCAGTGTTACAGAAAAGAAAGCTAAACGTCTTTACCAAAGATTAAAAAATTCTTTCATGTGGGTCAGATGACCCCGTCGCTTCAAGGTGGCTTCTCGCTGGTTTCTTCTCAATTTCACTTTCTTTCTTTCTTCCTTCATATTTCATTTTTTTTTCAAAATTATATTAAATAAATAATCTTCGAGAAACCTTCAACGAAAGTGACCTTATAATTTTCTAAGGGGCGAGTACAATTAGCCTTACAGACAACTCAATAAGAAAAAAAATAATACCATTGTCATTTTGAGAAAGAAAAAAAAAACTGCCAAACCTCGTGAAAATGGTGGACGGAAATGCTGTTTGCATCAGTTTCAATAGATGGGAGGATACCCTACGGCACTCTTTTGTCAGCCATCTCTCTGCCGAGTTTCACCGCAAAGGCATCTCTTTCTCCACCTGCCAAAACTCTGAGGAGACTTATGCAGCTATAGCGAAGGCTAAGGTTTCTGTGGTGATTTTATCTGAGAAATCTGTTTCGAACTATCGGTTCCTGAACGAGTTAGTGAAGGTTTCTGCGTGCCGGAGTAGCAACGGCCTGCTGGTGGTTCCAGTTTTCTACGGACTCACGAAGTCGATATTGAGGAAACGTTGCTTGCAATTGAAAAAGATGTATCCTGACGGTCCAGTAGCTGACTGGTGGAACGCTCTACTGGAAATCGCAGACTTGCAAGGATACGCATCATCTCTTGAAAGAAGGTGATTAATTGTTCAAAACTTTTTGCTTTTTTTTTTTTTATAACACTCATCACATGAAACATGTGATACATAAGGAAAAAATAAATGAGATATCAATAAAAAAAACTATTTGGTTTGTTATTTTATTTATTTTAAGGACAAAAGGCTTTAAATTAAAATGAAAATTTAGTCCATTTGGATCTGGACGCGAATGATTCACCTTTATCTTTCTTCTACAGACAATTTGTTTTTCTTCTCATCATCTTTTAAGTCCATCGAAATTCACCAGCCAAGTTTATTTACATAGAATGTGTGCACATTATCTTAAAGTCACCCACTGATACTAACTTATCATCCAAACAAAAAATTTAATTTATTTTTTGTTTTTTCTCAAAGTATAAAAATATAATGTTTCTTACAATATAGGAAACAATAAAAACTGGATAGAGAAAAATATTTATATTCAAACTTTGATTTACCAATAGTCTATAATTTACCCAGTGTTTTATGTTTGCACAGAACTTTTTAAGATTAATTTCCTTTAATTTTGAATAATGCCCAAAATATATGTTTAGGATGAATTGGCTTAAAACTCTAAAATATGATGAAATTAAAGAACTATTTATGATGGAACAAGTTTAGTGTCTATGAAAGAAGGTGCCATGGTGTGGGATTTAGAATATTAACTTAATTAAAGAATAAGTTGTGTATAGAGGATGCAATTTCACTATATTTTTTTGTTAGAAAATTCACAAAACACTATTTTTATTAGAATATGTTTCCCAATATCTTAGAGTGTAAATCACTCTTAAAATTTAAGGTTAAAATTACACAAATCTGACTTTATCAATCACATAGTTTAAGAAAGCAGTTTTAAAGAGAAAGAGTAGTGAACACTTCAACTTTCAACAGAGCACAATGTAAACCAAAAAGAGCAATGTAGGAGATAAGAGAAGTTTAGCTCACTAGATCTAGTTAAGAAATATTAGTTAATTAGAGCATTTCCAATGTAAAACACCATTTTTTCTTCCAACGTGGAGTAAAAATGATTATGGAGTAAAAATGCTCTAATTCCACTCTATTTGTAACTCTATAATGGAGTGGTGAACAAACAAAAAATAGATTACTCCATTTATGGAGTAAACTCTATTATGGAGTACAATATGGAGTAGGGTTGGAGTGTTTTCTACTTCATATTCCCTTTTACTCCATTTTAGAGTAAAAAATGAAGTTGGGTTGGAGATGCTTAGAGTGGAAGTAACGAGCAATAAAATAATACGGAAATTAGATTTTCCGACAACAAGGTGATCTTTTTTAAAAGCATACATTGGTTGTTTCGCTGTTGTAATGAAGTATACACATGTTTATGTGGATATTGTTAACTTCTGACAGAAAAGGCAATTTTTTTTTAATTTCATAAGAAAAACGTGATTAACTAATTACAACCATTTTCATAACCATTTTCTTATGGATTGATCTATTTTTTGCAACTAGAACATATGGAATCTTTTTTTTTTTTTTTTTTGGTCAACAGAACATATGGAATCTTATAATGAAAAATTTGAGTTCTATTCTCTCAACCAGTGGCGGAGGCAATGCAGGAGCAGCATGAGGGTCAGCTAACCCTATCAATTCTAAAATTTAGTTTAATATATAACCATATAACTTTAGTACATATTACATATTAACATCTGTTATAATAATTTAACATTTTACCTAAAAAGTGAGAAAAAAAATCATAAATAATAATTTCGTATTTGCTGACAAAAGCAATTTCTTATTTTGTTAAAATTTAAAATATATCAAAAAAATCCATTTTATGTTAATTGAGAAACATTACAATCTTTAAGTGTAGCCACGTATCATCACTAGGATGACTCTCAGAATTTTTAGAAAAATAAATTGGTTTATCTAAATATATATTATATTTTTTTATTAAATTAACTATTAAATTGATAGTAATGCATGAAAAATATACAATAAATTTTAGATTTGTATCTTATATGTTATATTTTGAAATTTTTTAGAACGGCTATAAATTACTAAAAGTTTTAATAATCTTACAATGAAAATTTGTGAACAATAGTGTCACTTTTTTGTTATAAAAAAATACAAATGATCATAAAATCATAGTATATGTATATATTAATATCGTTTATATTAAACAATATATCATATAAAAATACATAAAAATGTCAATTTCGAAATTTGCATTGAAAATGTATTGAGACCTGAATATTTAATTTTAAAATTTCCATTTATTTTTTTTAAACAATTATAAATTACTAAAAATATTAAAAATATCTCTTTAAAAATTTGTGATTAATTTTTTTTTAAAAAATTGTTACAGAATATATACAAATGTTAATAAATTCATATAAGTAGGAACTAGGAAGTTTTAATTAAATAGTCATATTAAAATATACTACATATCGAGGTTAATATTATTAAAATTTAATTATATAGCATATAAAATAAATAAAATGATTGTTTTGACTTTTTACTTTGATTTGTATGCTTACTCTAGTTTAATTATATACATTATATTTATTCGCTTCATAATTATTCAATATATTTATTATTTTATAATATGTAAATGAACACACAATAAATAATATATGTAAAATAAATTTGTATACCTAGTGTATGGTTTACTCCCGAATAAAAAAAAAATTATGTCCTCTCAGTTACTTAATAAATTTTCTTATATGTTTTGACTTGAAAAATCTTTGTGTTACTGTTCAGCGATTCCGAACTTGTGGAGGAGATTGTTGCAGACGTGCGTCAAAAGCTTGACCTTAAGGGTACCATTGGAGTCTACTCAAGATTGATGAAGATTCAAAACTTGCTCCACAAGCAACCATTGGGCATTCGAAGCTTAGGGATTTGGGGTATGGGAGGCATAGGGAAGACGACACTTGCTAAAGCAGCTTTAAAAGAATATTCGGGTGACTTTGAAGCATCTTGTTTCATCGAAGACTTTGACAAGGACTTTCAGGAGAAGGGAGTCTATGGATTATTGGAGAAGCACTTGCGGAAGAAGGTTGGCTTAAGAAGTCACGTTACAAGATTGAGTCTACTTATAGACACGTTACGCCAAAAACGAATTCTTCTTGTTCTTGATGATGTGCGCAAGCCACTGGGCGCAACAAGTTTTCTATCTGAATTTGACTGGCTTGGTCCTGGAAGCTTGGTAATAATAACCTCTCGAGATAAACAAGCACTTGTCCAGTGTCAGGTCAACGATATATATGAGGTTCAGGGCTTGAGCAAGCACGAGGCTCTTCAGCTCTTGTCCCGATGTGCATTTGGGAAAGATGTACCAGATGAAAATCTCATGGAGCTGTCTATGAACCTCGTTGACTATTCTGACGGAAACCCTTTAGCTCTCAGCGTTTATGGTGAAAAACTGAAGGGAAAAACACTGTCTGAATGGGAGAGTGTTGTCCCAAAACTCAAGCGTCCTCTTCCCGACAAGATTTTTAATAAACTCAAGATCAGCTATGATTCACTTGGTGAGACCGAGAAGGAAATGTTTCTTGAAATAGTGTTTTCCTTTAAGGGAGTGAATATCGACAACGTGATGCAGTTTCTTGAAGGTTGTGGATACTTTCCTCGAGTTGGAATCGATGTCCTTATGGACAAAAGTTTGGTGACTGTTTCAGACGATAGAGTACAAGTGCATAATTTGATATACGATCTTGGTCTCCAAATCATCAAAGATTCATCTGAAGATACTGAGATGGCTTATAGATTCGTGGATGCTTCCAACATTCAATCTCTCGTTGAAGAGAACGAAGTTGAAGATCCAGAAGCAGGACCAACACCGGTAATACTCGTCTGTCACATTCTTAACAATCTTTTAAAAAGTTGCACTCATCAACAAAAGAGATGATATAGTGGGTAAACCTATTAGATCACTTATTAGGGATCTAAGAGATCGCATGTTTGATTTACGTTGGGAGGAACCTACATATGATAGCGGATGTTAGGATACTCCAAAGATATTATTTAGTTTTTGAATGCCTATGATCAATATTTTCTTAAATTCCTAAAACAAGAAAAAAAAACCAATTTTATTAATCAAATCATAAAGTGAATATAACTGTAAGCAGAAAAGACCGATTTATATAGAAAAAAATAACCTTAAAAATATTAAAAACCTTTAAGATAATTTCATCATATTAAATTAAATATTGAAATAATAATAAACTAGATAATTGAGATATTTGGAATATATCTAAATATCTCTTTGCATCACTATTCTCCAAAAGAGAGTTAGTTTAACATGGTTTCCATTTGTCAGAATATAAATAACCAAAACCTTTTGGTTTCTCTTGTTTCAGTGTATTGAAGATATTAAAGGCATTAGCTTGGACACGTCTAACATAGACTTCGAATGTAACATTGCCTTTGAAGATATGTATAACCTTAGATCTCTGAAGGTTCACAGTTCCTATCCTGTAGAGAGCCCCATATTATGTCTTTCCGAGGACCCACAGTCTATGCCGCCTGAGCTAAGACTTCTTTACTGGGCATATTGTCCTCTCCAATCCTTTCCACAAGATTTTAATGTTCAGTATCTTGTGGAACTCAATATGCCATGCAGTAAACTTCGGAAACTTTGGGGAGGAACCAAGGTTAGACACACAATACATGGTTTACACATAGTTCCACTTTCACTAAATTATTACCAAATTTGCTTTTATTCATTTCTTGCTTCTTTTTTGTTCAGAATCTTGAGGTGTTAAAGAGGATCAAGCTCAGCCATTCCCGTCAACTAGTTAATGTTGATGAACTTCAATTTTCTCCAAACATCGAGCTGATTGATCTCCAAGGATGTTCAAGGTTAAAGAGTTTTCCGGACACGGGTCAATCACAACATCTCCAAGTTGTTAATCTCTCAAACTGCATAGAGATCAAAAGTTTCCCAAAGGTGCCACCGTCTATCAAGAAACTGCATCTCCAGGGAACTGGCATAAGAGAGTTAAGTAATCTTGATAGCTTTTCCAAACAAGATATTGGCAATCTTGTTTTCTTAAAGCTGGAAGGTTGCTCCAACTTGAGAAGTCTACCTGACATGGTTACTTTTGAGTCTCTCGAAGTTCTTAATCTTTCTGGTTGCTCAGAACTTGAGAGTATTCAAGGTTTCCCACAAAATCTGAAAGAGTTATATCTGGCCAATACTTCCGTAAGTGAAATCCCATCTTCTCTGTGTAAACTGGTAACACTAGATATGGAGAATTGCAAAAGGCTTCGCCACCTGCCAATGGGTATGTGTAACATGAAATCTCTTGCCAAGCTGAAACTATCTGGCTGCTCAAATCTTGAAAACATTCAGGATGTACCAAGAAACCTCAAAGAGTTGTATCTGGCTGGCACTGCGGTAAAAGAATTCCCAACACCGTTGCTTGAGAATCTTTCTAAACTTGTCATATTAAGTTTGGAGGATTGCAAAAAGCTTAGGCATCTACCAGTTGGAATGAGTAAGTTGAAATCTCTCGTCAGGCTCAAACTGTCCGGCTGCTCTGAGCTAAAGACTATAGTTGAGTTTCCTCAAAATCTAAAGGAGTTATATCTTGGTGGCACTGCCATAAGAGTATTGCCATCTTCTATTGCGGATCTCCCTGAACTTTATACATTAGATTTGAAGAACTGCAATAGACTACGACACTTACCAGTGGAAATGCAGAACATGAATCCTCTCAAAGTTCTTGACCTACTGAACTGCACAGACCTTGAGTTAATTACTACTTCTCTTCCAAAAGTCAGAGAATTACGTCAAGGCTGTACAGTCATGCCACTTCGATCGAAGATGCCATCTTCTCGCTCAAGATTCTATGAACAGATAGTCACTTTGTTTCTACAGAAGACTCGCTTGCAACATATTCCTGAAGACATATGTTTGATGTCTTTGCTAAAGACATTGGATCTTAGTGGCAACTGTTTCAGAAATATTCCAGTAAGCATCAAGGAATTTTCTAAGCTACTCAGTCTAAGGTTATGCAATTGCAAAAGCCTTAGAGTACTCCCACAGCTTCCCCAAAGTCTCCAACTCTTGAATGCGCATGGTTGTTCATCTCTGATATCAATTCCTTTAGACTTCTTTGAGAATTCTAGGTACTATACATTCAGTAACTGCTTTGGTCTTTCGCCTTACATGGTCAGCTACGTATTAGCCAAGGCACAGGCTACTGTAGAAGAACACATGGGACCACAACAACGTCAGCAGAAACTCGAAAAAGTTCTGGCTGTCAGGATGTGTCTACCATCACCTAGAAGTCAAAATTCAAAATATAGACTACACCCCTATCTGCAACCAGGATCTTCTGTAATGATAAGACTACAGTCACTACACCCCTATTCAAGAAGCATGCTCGTGGGCTTTGCTCTATTTGTTGAAGTTTCCTTCTCAAAGGATTTTCATAATGCTTCTGATGGTTTAGGCTTCAGGTGTGTTCGCAGATGGAATGATAAAAAAGGCCATGGTCATAGGCTTGAGAATGTTTTTCAATGTTTGCCTCCAAGAGAAGCTGTTCCTAAAATTACAAAAGATCACATGTTTGTCTTCTTTGACCTCAAAATGCAACCAAGTACGTTTGAAGGAGATGTCACAGGTATATTGGCTGATCTGGTTGTCTTTGATTTATACCCTATCAATAATGAAGAGAAGGCTAGAGGTGAAAGTCTCCTCAAGGTGACGAAGTGTGGAGTCTATGTGTTTAATGGTGAATCTGGCAGTCTAAGCACGAGAAGAAGACCACTTGGTTCTGCACTGGATCGATTTGGGCTTTCAGAAGACGAAGTTAAAAGAATGTTAAAAGCTAACTATGATGGCTTACAAAAAAGAGAAAAATATCTATTTCTGTACATAGGATGTTTGCTGAGTGATGAGAAAGTTGATATGCCATTACCATTTCTTGCTAGCATTGACTTTGGATCTACTCTAGAGGTGTTAGCCAGTAAGTCTCTCATACATATATCTTCCAAGGGGGAAGTAAGGATGCCGCTTTTGCAAAGAAAATTGTGTAGAGAAATTGTTCGTACAAAATTCATGCGGCCTGCTAGCAAAAAAGAGTTGGTATCTAAATTGTTTGGTAGCAGGGAGTACCGTCATTTTTTGAGCTTCAATAAGGAAGATGTTAAGAAAAGTTTCATCAGTTACTTTATCTACAAGCTCAAGATCAAAAGACTTCGTGCACTCCAAGATGATCAGATCCTAAAACGCTTGCTGACTGGCAAGGCTATAAGAGAACCAATCATTCCGGGGACAGGCCTTGGAGAAGCTGTTGTAGACAGAAGAAGAAGAAGAAATATAGAACAGAGGACTCGACTAATGAGGTGAAGAGAGGTGCTGATACAGATAGATAGGCTGTTTAGAGTTAATGGTTTATGATGGAGAAGGGCACTAATTGGTTCAGAGAAAAAGAATACCTGATCATGAGAAATCTTGGTGAAAGATTCAGACTATGCGCGTTCGCGAGCAGACAGAGGAGAAGGAAACAAAGAGGATGCGATGCAGCCACTGGAGGAGAAACATCGAACTTGGAAGTAACAGTACGGCTGTGTATGCTAAAGTGTGTTTTTGGGTTATATGAGCTTTGAGAGAAATCAGGGGACTGGCTGTTAACTTATATAGCATTGCTTAACTCTGCAGCACTAGTAGAGGCATGATTTGCTTACTATCTTAGATGTGAGAGATCAAGACTTACCCCCTTATGTTACACAGATGGTTTCCCCATCTTCACAAATGAGTGATGGTCCCTAGATCTTTCAACAAGATTCTCCTTGTTTTCCAAGTATTCCAGCATTTCAGGATGAGTAAAGAAAGAAAAAAAAAAACAGTTTCTTCTCTTTAGAGTTGAGCATCTTGGATGGTTGACTTCAATTTTTCTTAAAAGAATAGACATTCTTCAAAAAAAAAATGAAACAAGTTTTCAATAGATTTTTTCTTCTTTCAAAACGAATATTCTATCACTATTTTATAATTAATTATTAATAACAAATTATACTTTTTCCAATTTATTAATTTTACTCAATATTTTGTTTTAACAATAATCTGGCACAAGTACTATATTGTAAGTTAATGTTTTCATTTGTCGTTTTCCATTTTCTGTTAATAATGGTTTAGGATATTACACATTACTTGTTTAATTATGTTTTTTTGGGAATCAGTGGATAATCCACCAATAAATAAACTCATCATCTATACTTTTAAAAGAGAAGAAGTCTAAATAAATCTACTTAAAAAAGTTTTTTTGATCCTTTCATTAGACTAACATTTTTTTGTCTTCCCTTATATTTCTCTAACTATATAAATACTTTACAATTTAAATAAACTCATTTATTAATTTCCATAATCTATTATAAATTTTTTCTAACAATAATATTCATGATACTATAACTATGACACTTTGGTTTAATTAATTATATGCAATCAATTATTAAATTTTGATATTACATTCTTATACAAGAACTAAATGATTAATTTTATGATATATAAAAAATTAAATGGGTCTAAACATTATAAGTTGGAGATTCAAACGAAATTGGTCAAAATGATTTAAATAAGATATTTTTATTTATTTTACATGATCTATTTTTATTTAATTTTAAATGTAAACTAGCCTATGATTTAAATATCAGATAGGTTGAATATTTTTGATAAAAATATCCAGGTAATTCATTGATTTGCCTAATTTGGTTTAAAATAATATTTTAGGTTATTTAGTATTTAGAAATTATATATAATTAATATTTGTAGGTATATAGTTTATATATAAAAAAATTAAGTAACCATTTGGTTCTCGGTTCGATTTCTGTTTTTAGATTCTAGAGATGTATGATATTATCGATTATTTATGAAATTTGGCTTAATTTAATTTCATTTATTTTTTTAACAATTTTAAAAATCAAGTACCCATTTGTGCATAATCGAAAAATAGAAAACACGCTTCTCAATGGGTTAATAACAATCTTTTGATTTTAAGAATATTTTTATCATATTCGTTTTATTAGTTTTACAAGACTGAAATAAAATAATAGAACAAATTTTAAATATTATAAATATCTAATAATAGACATAAATTTATTATATATTTGACTTTACGGTCAACAAAAATATAAGAAGCGCATGTCAAAATCTAAATTACTTCATCTACAAGTTAATTTATTACATCCAATTATTTAATTTACCTTAATTATATCAACAAAAAAAAACTAAATTGCACATACTTATATTTTCTACCATGTTTTTGGGAAACCTAAATTGATTACAAAATATTCTTTCATATCTTCTCTTAACCTAATTTGACAACAACCTTCCCCTTTTATAAATACAAGCTGTCTCGGACACCTTTTATCATCAACTCAATCAAATTATAAGAAAACATCAAAATCTATCAAAATATCTATTGCGAAATATTTATCTACGGTCAATCAAAAAAATACCCGCGCTTCTTAAGCGCGGGTCAAAATCTAGTATCTCTTAAGTGTACCTCAGATGATGTAAGAAGGGAGTATGGAATCTTGAATGATACAATAAGTCCACACAAAGTTAAATGTAAATTGTCTGGCAAAGACTTTTCTTCGGGGGTGTTTCTAAAATGTGTCGACAGCTTTTTATGTATCAAGTAAATAAGATAAGAAAGTTGTAAAAAGACAATTCTTGAAGCCAAAAAAAAAAACAAGAACCTGAAGCGAAGTTTTGTAGGTAGAAAGTGAACGTAAATGAAAAAAATGGCATTGAAAAACTCGAAAGAGGGTTTTGAACTTTTTAAACTCCTCACTCACAAGGTCCTATTGAAATCATGAAGCTTCTTTGGCTGCACAGATACGAGACACATAGATGTCATTCCTAAAGAGAATACATATGTTGTAAGCTAATGCTTCTAGATGGTTTTACCACACATGTATCCCTTTCAATACAATTAACAAATGAAATTTTGAGATTAAAGAAAAAATTAAAGAATTTACAAGAAAAATTAGGAAAGGAAGTCTGTTCAATGATTACAGATGCATGGACTAACATGAAAAGCTCATGAGAATTTTACTTAAATCCTATGCAAGAGACTTTCGACAATGAAATGCTCAATTCTTGCACAGCTATGTCAATGCATTGGAGTCTGGAGAAGGGGAGATGGCAATTAGTGACTTTGCTGGACGGGTTACCGGGAACAAGCTTGAGCTCGATCCGGCGGTGGCGGGTGGTGACTGGAGCGCTTGGCCCCTCTCACCGGAGCAAGCGATGTTCTCCTCTGTCCAGGCCTATGTTGCTTTCCTTGCTGCCATCATGGAGTAGATGCTTCAAGATCTACATACACTTTGTATTTCTTGAACATCACGCTAGCTGTGTGATGGATTGCATAATCAATTTCAATGTTATCAGGTGGTAATCACATCTCACAGAGACAGACTAGACGTGATCACACTTTCTCTCAAAGGAATGTGCCTGATCGTCGGTCTTCCAGCTGTCCTTGACTGTGAGAGTCAATTGACAAGGTTTCTCAGCAATGATTGTGTCAGCTTCGTCTCTGCCGGACCAGTGCCTATGGAAGCTCTAACCTTGCATGGCTACATAAATGCCTTGGAATCTGGAGAAGATGAGGAGATCACACCTAGAGAGGAAGATATGACGTGTAGTGACTTGGTCGAGTTGGTGATGCAGAGATAATATTTATGAATATTATAATTATTTAGTGTTATTTGTTATTTGGATAATTACTTTAATTGTTTTAGGTTTTTATAGTTTTCTTATAAATAGTCTTTTAGATTTATGGTGTTATTTAGTTTTATGATTTGAACAATAAAAGAGAGGTTTGAAACCATGTTTTCCTTGTTACGGCTAGAACTTGAGAGTTCTCAACGAATCAAGAAGACATCGATTCTTAGGTGTAGCGGAAACTACGATAATACAATGATCTTATTTAGTCTAAGAATACTTAAGAACCGATGCCTTCTTGATTCGTTGAGAACTCTCAAGTTCTAGTCATAACAAGGAAAATAGGGTTTCAAACTCGGTTTTATTATTCAAATCATAAAACTGAATAACACCATAAGTCTAGATGATTATAAAACTATAAAAACCTAAAACAATTAAATTAATTATCTAAATAATAAATAACACTAAATAATTAGAATATTCCTAAATATTCTCTCTGCATCATTCTCTTCGGGTTGGAGAAGATTCGCCTTCAAATCTTAACTATTGATTTGTCTCGTTTTCTTTTTCTTCTTTTCCATTGATAATATTTTCTTAATAAGAAAGTATAACTTTGTTCTCCCTGATACCACGTTTCCAACATGTGGGTGAATGGTTGTAGATCCATATGCCCTTTGTTGCGATAATCCGTGAAAGTTCTTGTTGGGCCAGTATTTTTTAAAGCCAAATTGTCACCAAAATCTTTAGAACATGAGTGCCCCGGCGACAAGTTGTTTCTTTCCACGACAAGGAATCCCATCTTTTGGAGAGAAATTTCACCGTCTGACGCTTGACCATCCAGCGCATTGTCTTTGTATTGAATCTGACCTTCATCATCATAAAAATCGAAGATTGGATCTCCGATAATTTCCTTGTAGATAATTTCTTCATTTTCTACGAACAAATTCACCATGATTCCAAAATGGAGTTTTGAATAAAAAACCAAAATGTCAGCTCTGATACCAACTGATGTAACGGAAGCTATGATAATACAACGATCTTATTTAGTCTAAGAATGATGTCTTCTTGATTCGTTGAGAACTCTTAAATTCTAACCATAACAAGAAAAACACTTTTTTTTTTTTGACATCAAAATAAAGACAAACTCATATTGACTCTGCGAACCAAGGTGGTAGCTCCGTATCCATGTGAACAACGAATGACTCTTTTATTATTTAAATCATAAAACTGAATAACACCATAAGTCTAGAATACTATTTATAAGAAAACTATAAAATACTAAAACAATTAAAGTAATTATCTAAATAATAAATAACACTAAATAATTAGAATATTGCTAAATATTCTCTTTACATCATTTGGTCATCAAGGACTGGTTTGAGCTTGATCCGGCAGCTGTGGCAGGAGCTGATTGGAGCATTTAGCCACTTTCACCGGACCAAGTGTTGCTCTCTTCTGTCCAGCTTATGTTGCTTTCCTAGCTGCTATCATGCAATAACACTACTTTTCTTTTCCCCTCTGTTTCTTCTTTATGTCCTACCATATATGGGGTTTATGACTTTGTTCAAGTTTAAAAACTGAGTTTATCAATGCTTTTGGATTTTATTTTTGTTACTATTTTAAACTATTGCTATTAGTAACCTGTGTAGATTTAGTGTTGCTAAAACAAAACAAAAAACACAAATAATCTTAAAACAAAAACCCTAATGTTTTGTAGACCCTTAGTTTATTGTAGTAAGAACAAGCTCCTCTGCCAAGGCTGGCCGGTTAGTATTTGTTCAAGTTTAAAAATTGAGTTTATCAATGCTTTTGGATTTTATTTTTGTTACTATTTTAAAACTATTGCTATTAGTGACCTGTGTAGATTTAGTGTTGCTAAAAAAAAACACAAATAATAAAGGGAAATTTGGGCTAATAACTATAAGTATTGGAAAAAAAAAATCCATACCCATAGTAAGCCCATGGGTATGGTATGATACATAAAAGTGCATATAATGGCCACTATACCCTTCTTTATGCGCGTGGATATCATCTCTCCCTCATTCCATAACCCTAAAAATCTGTTCTTTATTTCCCGCTTACAAAATTAGAATAACCGGCGACTGAGGCTTCCAACTTCTGACGAAAAATTCTTACGGCGGAGAAGCCACATAGGAGACGACGAGGAGCGAGATTTCGTTTAAGTAACCGATTGAGAAGGTGTATGATAAAGATCCGTCGGAGCCAAAGTCAAAAAAATCAAAATCTGGAAGGTAAACCTTGTAATTACCTTGACTATGTATTCG